CAGCCGGTTTCGGAGGGAGTGGAAGGGGGCGCGGAGGTATCTGCGGAGAGGGAGTGGTAGAACCGAGTTAGGTCTCGTGATGCCGGAGGCGGCCGCAAGGAGGCCCGGCCGGGGTCACGTGACCGCGGGCTGCAGGCGGGGGCGGGGCGCGCAGAGAGGTGGTAAACAAGGCCCGCGGGCTGCGGGGGCGGGGCCTGGGCCTCACCCTCCTCCCTGCCCCGGGGCCGGCCCCGCCCCGCCCCGCCCCTCGTAGTGGGGGCGCGGGGCCCCTTGCCCTGGCGCGTGCGGGCGTCAAAGCCACCGCGGTGTAGTGTGGCGGCACCTGGTCACGTCGCAACAAAACGTGGCTCCGGTGACGGTCCCCAGGTTTGCGGTGGCAGCACACCCGTCAGTGGCATCGCGCACGGCAATGACATCACACCTGCCAGTGGCATTGCACACGTCAATGACATCCCACCTGCCAGTGGCATCACATCCCTCAATGGCATCGCACCCATTAATGGCATCACAACAGCAATGGCATCACACCTGTCAATGGCATCATACCAGTCAATGGCATCACACTGTCAATGACATCACACCCATCAGTGGCATTGCAAACATCAGTGACATCACACCTGCCAATGACATCACATCCCTCAATGGCATCGCACCCATTAATGGCATCACACCTTGTCAATGACATCACACCCGTCAATGGTATCACACTCAGGCAATGACATCACACCTGTCAGTGGTATCACATCCATCAATGACATCATGCCCCTCAATGGCATCATACCCATCAATGATGTCACACTCATCGGTGGTATCACACCAGTCAATGGCATCACACCTGTCAATGTAATCACACCCGTCAGTGGTAACACCCCTCGATGGCAACACACCCATTAATGAGATCACACTCATCAGTGGTATCACACCAGTCAATCGCATTACATGCATCAAAGTCATTATACCCATCAATGGCATCACACCCGTCAATTACATCACACCTGTCAGTAGCATCACACTCGTCAATGACATTGCACTGTCAGTGGCATCACACCTGTTGATGGCATCACACTCATCCTGAGTCATCAATGACATCTCACCCATCAGTGGCATGACGCTGCATAGAAGTTCGGCCCATGTAGGCTGCCCCCAGACCTCTTCAGCCACAACTTGTTTCCCAGTTACAACGTGGTCAATTCTCGCAGGTTCAGTGTGCTCCTGGAAGCAGCAGATTGCCAGAGATTGCAGCTCTCTGTAAAAACCATGTGAGAGGGAAGGATTTTGTAGGGTGATAGCTTTTCTTGAACCAACAGTGTCACTGGGATAAAGCAAGATGAGGTTTTGGATGTAAGACATTCCTGAAGAATGTCCCATGTTCTTGGGGAATGTCTAACATCACAACAACATTGTTGGTCCAATAAATGCAATCACCCTAAGAAATCCTTGCCTCTCCCACTAAAGGGTTAATCTGGCCCTGCATCACTTTAAAGAAAATGGGCATTTTTAGTTCCCATGGTTGCAGGAAAGCATACAGAGAGGTTCAGAAAGCAAGCATACAGCAAGGCTCATGACTCTCCACATTCATGTCATTTTGATCACCTTGACATTTTAATCCAGCCTCATGAGTCCAGAGAAGAAAGCAGACGGTTTTTGAAAGCTCAGATTTGGCAACGTTGCCTTGATGAAGTCAGGATCAAAAGGACAACACACCTGTGACATGTTTTGCAACTCGCCTGCATAGTTTCCATTCACTAATGTTCTTCCATTAACAGCGTAAAGCAGAGCTATAAGGAAGCCCCATCTTTGCCTTCCCACTGCTTTCTCTGGGCCATGCTGAATTCCATTTCCAGAGGCCTCTGGGGGTTTTGGGTTTTTTTTGGCAAGCTGGTTCCTGTGGTGCTCTGCGCCTTTAACCCAGCATTTCTGATATATGAGATGGGCCATGCTTGCACGTGCCAGTCAGATTGTCAATTCAAATTTTAAAGTGCAACAAAAGAAGTCTTTGAACCCACAAATAACTAAAATCACTTTCCTTGTATCACTCGTGAAAGTAGGAGTGAGCTGTGAGCAAACAAATGCGGGGGGGGGAGTGTATGTCCACAGCTACTGCAGTGGTAAACAAATGCACACTCATCTAGGTACCAAAAAAGTCAGTGGTTTTAGGTTATTGATTGCTGTGGTTGCCAGTGTATTTTTAACACAGTGCCAAGGAATGTGTTGCAGCCCCACCTCGTGGGAAAAACTTAGTACTGCACACCTGAAAACAAGCGTTCCTACACGGCTGGCTGGTTGCACATTGCACACTGGCATTGCCCTGCTGCCCTCGACGGGTGGGTCTGGGCCAGGAGGGATATGTCTTTGGGCAGACCAACTTAAAGCAAAGGCACAATCAGCACCTGCCTGCCACTGTAGGTCCCAGTCATGTGATGGAGCTGGAGCCTAAACTTCATTTGAACAAAAAAAAATGTCCACCCCCACAGTTACACAAAACAACATGAAAATATACCCAGAGCTGACTGATTCATGTTTATTTGAAATAACATTTGAAGGTCAGCATAGATAGGTGTATCTAATACAGCAGTAGAGCCCTTGCAGAGAAATGGTGGTCTGATACACTCAAAATTAATGTTTTTTTTCCTTCAAATGCTAGCAGAGTTCATGTCACTGCTTATATTTTACGGTCTTTTTATATAGGGATGGATCCCAGAATGCTTTATGAGCTAATATACAAAGGGATCACTTCATCTCTTGCTGAAAGCAGCAGCTGTTCTCAGATGCACATTATTCTCTTCGTTCTGGAGAGAGGGTGCAGAGTTTGGGGAGGAAGGATGGGATTATCTAATGCTATACGTTTTGTAGGCCATTCAGAACCCTCAAGCTACAAGCTCCTCATAGCTTGGGTCTGAACATCTTTCTTTCTGTGGACTAGCAGGAAAAATTCTGTGGACTTCTGGTGATCCACAGGATATACTTTGTGAATCCTTGACCTGATTCTTCAGCTCATGTGACTATTCCCCTAGAAGCTAATGGGAATCTGTTCTCAAGGACTGCAGCGTAAAGCCTAGGTTCGATCAAAACAGGTTTGATTAGAATAGCACCAACAGTACCCTATCTGTGGGTTAACTACTGCAGTACTAACTGATATATTTCACAGCTCTGATCATTTTTCCTGTGGGCATGAGCTAGTTTCTCTTGTACCCGATAGGTGACCCTCCCTGGGGGGTGAGCTAATTTAGGCCAGCTTTGTGCATTCTCATTATTTTGTATTTCATTTTGAGCTGGATGCTGGGTTTTTCCCCCCCCCTGCTGTGCAGGAGATGTGTTTATTTAATCTGCCTAGGAAAATAACTCAAATTAGGATAAGCTTCAGAAAAGAACTGGAAGTAATTAGCAGTGTTATTCCACTTTGACTTAATTAACATAACATTACAGTTGACAAAGGAAACACACAGGCACTAGTAGGTGTTTGCATGTGCTTCTTGCTGCTGGACAGCGAAGCAAAGAATCCTTCAGTAACCGTGGTGTTTGTGCATTCTTATTTAGATGCATACTGAACTTAAATGTCTTACCCACTGTGTCGGCTGTGATTCACATGACATATATTTAGAACAGACAGCATTACAGTGTACTTCCTTTAAACACATATCAGGGGAGGACTGAAGTTGCTTAGCTGAGTAACACAAGGCAAGTCCCTTTTTGTTGCCATTTGCTCATATTGTAAGGAACATAAGTTATGTGTATACTGGGCGAGTGCATAAACTGTTTAAGTGCATAGCAGCTTCTAGCTCCACTGTCTGCCTTGTTACCTGACTGTACTCAATTTAACTGCATAATTGCTGAAACTACAAACCACCAATTTCCAGGCTTCTAAAGAAGCCCAGACCTGACAATCTGCTACAAGAAAGGTCCTGTCAATTCCAAGCCTACAATTACAGACGTAAGACCTCTCTAACATGAGGTGTGTAAAGCTCAGCACAGGCTCTTCCTGTAGTCAGGGAGCACTATATACGTTGAAGTGAGGTATGTGAATGCTGGATTAGTGCATGCAAAAATCTAGAACTCTTGGTTCCAAAATTATACCTTTTATTAGATCAACTGAGAACTTGCAAAAAATATATCTTTTTCTGCAATTTTTTTTGCAATTTCTCAGTTGCTCTAATAAAAGGTATCGTTTTGGAACCAAGAGTTCTAGATCTTTGCATTTCTTTTCATCTCAGACCAACATGGCTACCACATACATCCCTGGATTAGTGCATAGCCTTCTTCAGTCTGAGGCTGTGCCCTCAGAATACACATACATAGAATTAAGCTGTCCTCAAAAAAAGCAATACTAAATATGCTTTCAGTGTACCAGAAACTGGCACAAGCCCATACAGTTCCAATTCAGTCATCCATGCTAGCCTTTCTTCCTTCTTCCAGGGCCCTACGGAGTTTTTCTTCTGGTCATGGAACTTGCAAGGGAAAAGTGATGAGATGGGGTGTGAATCAGCCAGAGACATGAATAGAGGCATATACCTTTCAGCTTCAATGGCTCTGCAGAGAGAGGTAATGCAGCTTGAAGTTCATCTACGGTATGGATCCCTGGCAAGTCTTTGGGAGCGCTGTCAACTGCAGAGTTTATATTCGCTGCAAAGTATACCTGGTTACGATTTGTCCACAACCAAAACTTCTAAGCTGACTGCAGTGTTGCTTTCAGTTCAAGTTGGCTGGCCTGTCATTGGGCATGGACTACCATCTGAGTTAAGACCACTCTTTACTAGCAGACTGCTCTAATTTGGACATAAGTTGGCACCACTCATGGGCCACTGGCCCTCCCCTTCTTCTCCAGAAAGAACAGGCAAGTTCTCCCACACTTCAATGGGAACAGTTCAGAGAGTATAATCAGGACTAAGAACCAAAGGCAAGGTTTTATTGAGTGTATTCCTGGGTCCCTTCTGCAGCTACTTTACCCAGCAAGCAGCAAACCCCCAAGACAGCCAGCTTGATTGGGTGGTCTGTTTTCCCCAGCAAGAATCAGATGCTGTAGCCACTTCCACTCTAAATCATGAAGAGGTTTGTACATAAAGCTGCTTCAGAAGCTGGCTCCAAAGTGCTTCATAAAATAACATGTCAGCCCTTTCGTCAGCTTGTCATTTTTCCTTTTAATTTAATGCTTGTAATGCTCTACATATGAAACCCTGAAGTTCCAGCGCACATCTTGGTTTTCCATTACAATGCTTGTTTTTGTAGTGAGAGATGTAATCCTTCAAATGCCTGTGTTTAAGAGGATGCAAATCAACTTCCCAGCACAATGCTTTGTGAACAGTTTCTTTCATGCAAAACTCTGCTAAATAAATAAATGTGGGAGGGAGGGTAGCAGGGAGGGATGCGGCTTCTATAAACAACAAGCATTAATTGTGCAGGGAAATGAGAGAGATGGGCAAGGATCAAAAACCTCAGAAATTTGGAGAAGCCTACATTCAGATCGAAATCGCAGAGCAAGAGCCCCTGTTTCATGCTGTGGCAAGTGAGGAGCCTGTCTGCAAGCTCAAGGTGCAGTGGCACTTGGCCATGCATTGTGATTCTAAGTAGCGCCAATAGATGGCACTATGAACAAAACAGCATGCAAGAATTGGCCTTTACAAGGCAGTAAAAGGACTGCCTGGTTCAAGTTTTCTGTGCAGCGCTGAGCACACTGTCAGAGAACAGCTAATAATAAATGATGACATACTTAGCACATGCCATAATGCACCTGTGTGTGAGGGAGAAGGACAGGGAAAAACAGACACCTTGGGTACAAGGCATTATATAGATATACTGGCAAGCTTTTAGGAGGATAAACTAATTTTTGTTCAAAAACACAAGAGCATACGAGTACCTCTTGCAAGTCACCTGTATTCAGAACTTGCTGATTCTGTCCCCATCTCTACTGCAGAATCACCACATGACTTCGGGCTCCTCACTTTACTGCTGCTTCAATTACTCCATTAACAAGTTGTTTCACAAGGGCATTATGCAGGTCAGTTATCTCATACTTGTAAAGTGCTTTCTGATCCTTGGGAGAAAGGAAGTTACAAACATTAAAATTCTTATTGTGACTCATTAGCTGAAAAGCATCTCAGAGAGATGTTTATTAATCAGCATGCATTATATAAATGATATATTAATACATTATATACCCAAATAATAATGTATGTCTATATGCAACCATGCAAAATTGCAGATGTATGCATCCATCGATATACACGGCTGCGTGTTCATGCACCAAAGGTGCAATGTACATGTGGCATACATTCCTAAATCTAGGAAAAGGAACAACGGTTTTTCAGTTGCTAATGTGTGGGTATCACTATCTAATTCTTTTTTTCCACAGAAATTAGAGATGAAGATACATTTTGAAACAAAAATAATCGTGTGTGTATTAGTTTGTCGGATAGCTTTTTGATGCTAACGTGTGTGCGAGAGATGGTGGGTCTGTATGTGGAAGATGTAAGGATGAGGTTGTGTATAAGAATACATGTTCCTTAAGAGCCATTCCTGGTTTGCAAATTCCTGTTGGCACCTTATTTCCCTTTGTCATGCTTTCTGTCCATAGGACAAAAGATTATTTCAGTAGAAAGTCCCCTTGCCCCAATGAGTTCAGTGAGGTACTTCTGAACTTCAGAGCTGGGCAATGTGAATTCACTTCAAGTTTTCAAAGTCCTGGAAAGTTTTGATAAGCAAATACTGTCTGGGCTCTGCTTCTCCATTGGTTGTTTCTTCACCACCAGATTTTGACACAAATAATCTGATTGAAAAATCAGGGAGGGGAACAGGGGCAAAAACAGAGAAAGAAAAAAAAGGAGAAGTATCTATTTCAGCAGACAGCAACCAAGTGAGAAAGTGGAAGAAAGCCACGCAGAGAAGGCGACGTCTTGCTGGCAGTTTGTCTGGGGAGATTTCAAGACTGAGCTTGAATCCTGCAAACCCAGTCCCCCAAACAGGTGATTTTTTTTCTTTAAAATACACTTTTAATGGCATTGTTTATTTCCTTCCTTTGATGAGCTTTTGAAAGATTTTACTTTACTTTTTTTTCATGCTTGCAAATATATGATATATTCCATTACACAAGGCAGTGACTTGGGCTGGGGATTTTTTTGATAATAAGGTGCTTGGGTAAAATAGAAGAAACATTTTTTAAATCTATATGCTGCGTATTCATTCCACACACATGCACTCACCCTGCCAGTTGAAAAAAAAAAAAAAAAGATAACAGTTGACAAGTACAGATAAGATATTACCATGCCTTCAAACACACAGATTGCAACCAGCACCCTGCAACAGAACTCGTTTCCAGACGTGCCTCTTTGTACCTAGGCATAGAGGTCACACTAACAGGTGTTTCTGGAGCCAGATCTTCAGTTTAAGTTAACTGGTACAGCTTTATTAACATCAGTGGAGCTCTGCCAGTTTACACCAGCTGAGGTTTCAGTCTATACTATTCAGCATTTTTGCTTCTGACCTACCAACTTATTTAACACCCTCCCAAATGTTCAGATTGCTATGACATGACTATTAACATGCAGAATGAGTTTGAGTTCACCCCTGACTTATAGCTAGGACTGTTCAATACACTGGACAGAAAAATGACAACCAATAAACTCACATAATGAGCTGACACATGAGCTTATATATTAGAAGGACTAGAAGATTTAACATGTGGTACCATGTCAGGCTATTTATCCTCTGAAGCCTGATCCAACATCCACTGAAATAAATGGGAGTTTTTTCACTGACTTCAGTGGATGCTAATGACCAATCCCCAACTCACTTTTAAAGGACTTTATTTTTAAAATTGTATTTAATCAAGATAGGCAAAGCTTTCCATCCACCTGATGGGCAAAGTCATAATGGAAGCTTATTGCCCCTCTCACAAAATCCATTGGCCCAAGTGTTCCATGGGGATGGGAAACTAATGGTTTCACTTCTCCAGTGAAAAAATCAAATACAAATGATAGCTGTTGTGAGTGAGTAGAGTTTTGTTAGGCAGGACTAGTGACTGGATGATCATTTTTGGTGCAAAAAAGATTGAATTATTTTTAAATGGAGCTGGTAAAACTTATCTGATTTGTGCTCTTAAGAAATGGAAGACAAGTGGGGAATTTTCCTTCAAAAGCAGAATCTTCTGTAAGCGAGATCATTCTTTATTCTTGTAAGATGTTCTGGAATATCCTCTAAATGTAACGTGTGTGTTGGGGGGGGAAGTTTCCTTCATTGTGAGAGTCATGTCTGAATTAGCATATAAGGTGCCATTCTGCCCTGCCTTCCAAATTTGAACAGAGAGCATCTGAATTTCAGGAGTTAGAAAAGGATGAAGTCAGCTTCAGGAGGTAATGTATGGTCCAAATTTAGGACTTGGTACCATATGGTACAGTCCTGAGAACACCTGCTACCAAAGGCAGCACCTACTGTTCTGAGTAATCCCGATGAAGTTAATGGAAGCACTTTACTGAAAGTTTGCAGGATCGGGTCCCTGCCTACATTAGGTCTCTCTCCATAATAGCATTCTTGGGATCTATAACCTACCATTCATTCTGTGGCTGCTTGAGCTGTAGGATGTCAGATTAAATAGAATTATGACCCAGAAACCAGAAACGCCTGAAAATAACATGCGTGTCAAACTCCTTGCACAACTATCAGCTTAACAACAATAAGCACTGCAACCTGCCCCCTTCCCCAAGTTTTGGTGAGATGTTTCCTAAAGCTGCTACTGGCCACCCAACTGGGGATGGCAAATATTATGTAACTAAAGGTATTGCTGTGAGCACTAGGATATGTTTTCACAGGTGAATGGCAACTGCAGGTTGTTCACTTCTAAGGTGCATTAAAAAGGCCTCAGGTATGCAGGCTGCAGCCATACTGGTGTAGTGGCAAAAGCAATCAGGACTCATGGTAGAGGTGATATCTTTTATTAGACCAATTAGCTTTTTGCAAACAATTTTTTTTTGCAAAAATCTAGTTAGTCTAATAAAAGATACTGCCTCTACCTCGAGTCCTGATTGCTTTAAAGAAGCCTGATTTTCCAAAAGTGCTGACTGGCCACCCCTTTATGTGCCCCCTTTAGAACGTTTAAAATTCAGCACCCAAAAATCCAGAAATCCCCAATCACTAGGCACTTCTGAACACCCAGGACATTACATTTCTTCCATATTGAAACTGTTAAATTAGCCACTTACCTACTGCACATGTTTCCTCTGCCTGGTTTTCCTGTGATGTTAACATGCACTCTAGAACTGATCTGATGCTGAATGTATATTCTGTGTTGAAGCAGCCAGAAGCAGTTGCATTTGGGACAGTCATCCCTAACTGTTCAGTGTATCTTGTGGGTACCCTTAGATGATAATCAGACAAGGCAACTGGCACAAAACAGGCTCTCTAAAGAGCTGGATTCTTAACTAAAGGTTGAATAAAAATATGCTGTACACTACACTGGTGCCTTAGGACAAGGTGTTGTCTGTTGGAGGTGGGGTTGGTAGTGCTGGTTTCCATGCAGATCACTGGTAGATATTAGGAACAGTTGACCGCTTGCTTCTGATAATCTCTGTTTCAAAAACAGATAGTATTTTTCTCTCACAATCTGTGCCCCCAGCTTTCCTCAAAGTTGGTCGTGCAAATCACAAATGCAATCCAATGCAGTTGTTAATTAACTATGCTGTGGGCTCCCAGTTCCTGTTTTCTCTGTAATGTGGGGTGGGGGAAGGTGACTTCCTTTTGTAACGTTCGGTAGTGCATCAAAGATTGTTGAACTCAGCACAGTCCCTTATTGGCAGTGGAGATACTGGGCCGTATTTGGAACTTAAGTACATGGGTGCAAATAAATTCAGACCTCCCATTGATTTCCATGGACCCTTTTCAGATTAGACTTGTGAGCCAAATTCTGAGCTCTACCTAGGAAAGTCCCACAGACTTAAGTGGAAGTTTCATGCACAAAGGACTTGCAGGGTAGCCCCTGTAACTTCGGGTGTGCCTGCACAGCACAACACAGAGTAAATTAGCTGGGCAAGGAGTGCCTTGCTACCGTGACCATACTGCTTGTTGCACTCAAACTAGCTCTGTCGGTTAGCTCCCCTGTCACTACATGGAGACACAGGTTGTGTGCTGCTTAGGAGGAATTGCATACAGGATTTAATTTTTCCATGTGTGGATCAAAGGCCTGGCTCATTTTTAGCCCTGTTTTTTATCCCCACTTTTAACTTCTGAATATCATGTAAAAGCTTTTACCCACCATGCTTCATGTCACACTTCAGGCTCTGGGGAAAATGTGCAGGAGAAAAAAAAAAGAGTCAAAACAAGTTAGAAACTCCCAGATTTGGCCCCAGAGATAGGTACTGAGCAATGGAAGCCCTTGGGCTAGATTTACAAAGGCACTTAGGTACTTACAGGTGCAGCTCGTTCCTAGTGTCATTTACACAATTGTACACATAAGTGAGTTAGGCACCAAGATCTCATGGATTTCAATGGGTCTTAGCTGCCTGCTTTTGTAAATCCTACTAGGCTTCTCAAAGCCCTTGTAAATCTGGTCCCTTAGGACCTTTAAAACAAAATGGGATCAAGTGATGGCAAGTACAATTACACACTATACCTGAAGGGGTGGACTCAGTGGGCTCCTAGACCTCTATACACTCTAAATGGTGCAGCTCCACAATCCATTCAGCACTCTCCCTCACTGCTCTATCCTGTCTTCCTGAGATCATTCAGATCCTCCCTGCTCTACATGTGCCAGTTTTGTTCTTTTCTAGTAAATATGTACATTACGTTTCACGTGTTCTCATGAAAAAAAATGATCAGGCCCTCACCAGCCAGCTTGGAGCCAGGGTTTATTAAAGATTTTCCAGGCAAAATATATTGGGGCTTGCTTTTACTGCCACTGTACTGAACAACTACGGGGAAAAATGCAAATGACCATGCAAATAAAAGATCACCTGATCTTGCAGTGTATAACATAGAACACTTTTTTTCGTGCTTTCTAGGACAAGGCCAGTTATTAGCCCTAGAAACTGAGGAGGGAGTGGGAAAGGGGAGTGTTGGGTTCTGGATGCTGAAGATAACAGATGCATTGCAAGAGAATTTCATATGATTAAATTTCAGCATTTTGTTTGTTTCTAACTTGTGCATTTCAACGGCCTATAATATTTGGATTGGATCCAAAAGGTAACCCTTTCCTGCCCAGAGCTTCTGCTGTGCCTTTGCAGTTTGTATCTTTACCAGGCAAAATATATGCTGGCATGGAAAAGACACCTTTGTACATATTATTGAAACAAATCCCGTGGCACATCAAGGCTTGTCTTCTACTGTTGATCACTGGCTCTCTCATGCTGGTGTTAGTATTATGGTTATTACTGACACTGCAATAGCGGACAGGAGCCCAAGTCATGGACTTGGGAACCTGTTGTGCTAAATGCAATAAAAGCACAGAACTTAAAGACAGTCCCTGTCTTGTAGATGGTTTCCAGTTAGCTCTCCCCACTTTGTGCTCTACTGGAAAGATTTTAGTCCAAGATGTAACACAGCCAAGTGGCCACAGCAGTGGACTAGCAGCCAGGAACTGTGGGTTTTATTCCTATCTGACCCAGACTTATTGACTGGCTTTGGGGCAAGTCACTTAACCTGAACTTGCCTCATTTTCCCCTTCAGTA